GTTGGAAAAATTAAACTGCTAGTCTTTCATTACTATAAACGAAATAGGTTGAATACATCTCATACAACTTAGCTTAGGTTTGTGAATCTTTTTCTTTTGATGACCTTTGTTACTGTGTCGTCTTGATCAGCTTCAGAAGGTTTACACTCGATGCAAAAAAATGTCACGATATCTTTAAGTGTGGATACAAATTTTTACTCAAAACAGATTTTGAGACTATAGATAATACTTGTAGGACAACTTAATGCACATGATAGTTGAGTTCTCCCACAATCAGATGATTATGTCTCTGGCTACGATTAAAAGTAGCTTATCCTCAGATGTGAAAACCCTCTTTGTAGCTCACAGTCTTCTTTAGCTTTTTAGTGTCGGTTTGATCGCGTTTTCGCAACTTGGTCGGAGCGTTAGGGACACCTTGTGGAATGTACCTAGTCCTGTGTCCTCTGCCGCAGTATTCATGATTTCCAGCATTGGACCATTGACTTGGTACTTTCCAAAACGTAAGCTGTAACTCTGTGCCGACGATGCTAGCGAAGCGTTTTGAAATGTACCGATTCAATGGTCCGATGTTATAAATCATGAATGCCACGGCAGAGGACTGAGGACTAGATATATTCTACAAGATCTCCCTGAAGCTCCGATCAAGTTGCGAATACAACGTCAGATCAACACTTAACTTAGCCTTGTTTGGATGAGAATACATTCTGGGAGGCAAGATTAAGTGCAAGTACGGGCATCATGAGGTATATTCAAGTCACTGCAAGATAACTCGATTAGCAGTCTTTAAATCACCTTCCGTTCAAAAGTTACTGTTACTCGCGTAAACTTATGAGTAGTATGAGATGCATTCACCTTATTTCGTTTAAGGGTGAAATTCAATTGAAACGTCAACTCTACTCGGAGCATTGTGGGAAAATTCTACTACCAGTCCTTCATCACCTTACACGAAATAGGGTGAATTCATTTCATATTACTGATTCATTGGTAGTCTCGAAACTCTACTCAAATACGAAGAATAAACTTATTCGGTCAAAAGCTATAATAAACAGGGCAAGTAGCTTATTTATGTAAATTGAAGAAGGATGGAAGGAAAGATGAAATAAGGTTAAAAAAAGAAATATTTGAGTGAACGAAAGTAGGAATAAGGAAGTATGCTGGACAAGGAAGAGAGGAAGAATGAAGTAAGAACTGGTGCAGGTACAGAAGGAAGAATGGACTGAGTGAAGAAAGAAAGTTATGGAGGAAGGATGAAATAAGGAATAAAGGAATCGATGTTGAATAAAAGATACAAATGAAGGCTAAAAGGAATAAAGAGGAGAAGCAATGCAAGAAGTGGGGACAGGAAGTAATGAAGGACAGAAGGATGGAACCAAATAACTAAATAATTAATAAAGAAAGAATAGAAGGAGAATGGAAGTGAGCAAATAATGGAGGGACGAGGGTGTAAATGGACGAAGGAAGGGAGGAATGAACACTGTAAGTAAGGGCAGAAGTAGGAAATGCAGAAAATGAGGGAACAATCATAGAAGGGTAGGACAAAAAGAGGAAAATAACCAAGAAATGTAGGAAGGAAGATGAGAGGAAGAATGAAAGGAAACGATGGAAGATATAAGGAAGGTATAGAGGAATGAACGGAAGGAAGAAAAGAGTAAAGAAGTTTTAATGGCAGGCAAAGATGGCTTGTATTCCGACACTTTTGTCCTCCAGTCATGCACAAAAAAGTGGTTTGAGGTAGCATTAAATGCTAAAATATTTCCTGAAACGAAGGAGGGAATGAAAGAGTGCAAATTTGCAGTGCCGCCCGGTTTTTAACTGATTCCTACGTAAATCCAGCGAGGAAATCAGAGCTTTCCTAGTGCCCCAAGGACGGGTGTTCAAAAAGACAAAACTTTATAATTAAAATATGAAATATGAGATGTATTCACCCAATTTCGTTTAGAGTGATGAAGGACTGGTAGAAGAAGAATTTTTCCACGATGATACGAGTTGAGCTGACGTTTCCATTCAATTTCACACATAGCCTTGCTTTCCCAAAAGTTGTTCTCATACTTAAACGAAATTGGCTGAATACATCCCATTTTGAGAATTTAATCTATTTTTCGAATTAAGTATTGTTTTCGTGACTGA